CCGAGACGGCAGAAAGCGCATCCTGTTTGCTTTCATTATTTTACAAAAGCACAACGTTTCGTTGTTATTCTGAGTGCACACAAATAAACGTAGAGTCTTTACAGATACAAAAGATGCATTACTCTTATCTGTATGACCAAAGATGACGAAGTATTTTAAGAGCCATTGATCGCAGCCGCGCCTCTATCTGTCATGCAGTATATCCCAAGCACGCCAATGTTCAGCTTCCCCGCTCCGCACAAACACGTGAACTGCGCACTTTTTTCTAGGCTAACATTATATTGAGCTGCCATGTAAAGTTGCTACTACATACATATTTCATATGATAAGCCATATTTGAGGTCGATGAATGTTAGGAGAGCATATGGATGTCCTGCCCGATGTACTATATTACCACATAGACCAGCCGTTAAAGATTTGTCCGTCACGGAGTGCGTGATTTCACCACTTCATGTGGAATTTTTTTTTCTGCGACTAATACAATTTTGGTAATATGCATATCAACAGCCTTTTAATTAGCAGAGTAGAATAATCATGGCTGATAGTAAGACATGCAAACATAAATTTAAAAAAAAACTGAACGCGAGAATATTAAGGTTATAATCAAAAATTTGGAGTTGGGATAACCTCCAAACCAAAGCCGATAGCATTTTAAAAGCTCATTATCGTCAGATGTTTCTAAAATGTTTATATTCCGAGGTAGATTGCTGGCAACAGCCATTTTAGGATAGTTCAGATTTGGTCTTAGTGACTTAGGAGTCCTCTTTACTACTCCTAATGTTTAACAGATTTAGGAGCTAGTTTTAGCGCTAAAACTCTTTGTGAAATACTCTTAGAACAAAAATTTAGGAGTTCTAAATTTAGGACTGACACGCCCATTATTTTTAAGATTTTCTCCTAAATCGGCAAGTTATGAGCTACTTTTAGCCTGAAGATGTTTTGTGAATACGGGCCTAGGACTATAGAGCTTGTGTTACTTGTGCTTATAATCAGAGCAACTGAGAACAGAATAGTTCAGTTTAGTTGAGGCTCCTGTAAGGAGTGTGAGAGATGTCTGAGTAGTTTGTTAGCGTTCCTTCAGCTCGGCAGTTTGTCACTTAAACAAACACATCCTCATTAACAGAGGAAAGCGATCCAGACATTAAGAGCAGAGTCCCTGATGACAGTAATGAAGAAATATCACTGACGAACAAATGGCCTCCATCTGCCTGCTGAACCTGCTGACAGCTGGAGGGAACCGCAGTGTGTGTGTGTGTGTGTGTGTGTGAGAGTGTTAATGTTATAAAACTAGCGAGCTACGCCAGTAGTAGTGCTGACAGTGTCGTGTAAACATGACTGAAGACGCGAAAAGAGGAACAAACAAACGGATTCAATTGAGTGAGTCATTTACGCTGGAACTGCTCCGATTGATTCAAACTCAAGTTCAAGTTCAAGTTAATTTTATCTGTATAGCACATTTAAAGCAGCCGCTAGGCTGACCAAAGTGCTTTACAGAAGAGAAATTATGAACAACCCATTAAAAAATTACTGAATAACAGTAATCAATACACTAAGGAAAACGGATAGGTTTTTAGCAGGGACTAAAAGACAGGCAGAGAAGGGGCCATTCTAATTTCTAAAGGCAGGGTATTCCAAAGCCGTGGCCCTGCCACCGCAAATGCACGCGCCCCTTTACGCTTACGTCTAACATGTGGAACTACCAACAAAGCCTGGTCGCAAGATCTAAGGCTTCTAGATGGAGTGAATAAATGAAGGAGTTCAGAGAGGTAGACAGGAGCTAGATTATGTAACGATTTATAAAAAGAGTAGAATGTTGAAGTCTATTCTCTGATGCTCTGATTCTCTGATGTACTCAAACTCGTGACTTCGATCATTCAGTTCAAGTGATTCACTAGCAAAAACCAGTTCAAAAGAGCCCTTCATTTTTTGAAGTTCATGAATCATTTCACAAATTGAATGATCCGTAATCCGCGCTCCGAAGTCCTGATCTGAAATGATGGTTCGCGAATCATGATTCAGAGTGGGACTATGCAGTGCATTGATCGGAATAACATATCGGGAATCATTTGATTCAGATCGGAACTTCGGAGCGCAGATCGCAACTCATTTGATCCGCACTCCTGAAATCTCCAATCCGTTAAGGCAGTACAGTTATAAAAACAAAACAAAGAAAAAAGAAAGTAAGAAAGAATACACAAATACAAATCTTTTAAGAAAATTAACCTTGGTTTTATTACAGTAAAAGCGTAGAAACCATGTTGTTGTTTTTTCATCTTAAGACACACAGGATGAATATAGAGATGCCGTTTTGACTGCTTTAGGATGAACAGAACTTTGGATAGTTTCCTTGACTTGTCTAGATCAACTCTGAATAAAGAAAAGAGAGGTTTAGAGCCAGATTTGTGTTTCTGTGTGTTCAATTTAGCTGGCGGGAAACACAGATTCATTGAGTTATATTTTCCTGTATTAGTCAAACAATCCGAAGGAAACATCTTTAAAACAGAAAGAAAAGTCACGTACAAAATGAGATCAGATGAACATTAAATAAATCTGAGCAAAATGTCTCTGTGTACAAAATAAGTGAATGAATCTTCCCCAGAAAAGACAAAAACAGCAACTCACTTCAGTGTCTGAATTATATTATAATCATGTCCATAAGCTTTTTGTGAAATTTGGAGTAACTCATTAATCTGTTGTTTGAGCTCTTCATATTTATGGAGAGAACTAGTCTCCATCACTTGTTATGATTCTCAAGCATGTAGAGTTTAGTATAGACACTGTGACATAATCCTATTAATATCAGACACTACTAAATTATCCCTAGCAATAATTTTGATCAAACAATTAATTGTCTGTTGTTTGCAGTTACGTCCCCACCAATGCCAAAATCAAACCTGCACCTTTGGTGTGAGTGTGTGAATGAGTGTGTTTATGTTGTGTGAATGAATATTTTATTTGTCCTTTCTAAATAACTCACTGCTCCTCTGCTCTTCTCTCTGGTCTGCAGGGAATCGGCGGTCGTGAAGCTCCTATGAAAGCCACCAAACCGTGGAATAACCAGCGTTTTATCGGCATGTTTGATGTGGTGAACACGACTAAACAGGATTCTGGCCGTTACAGATGCATCGTCCACTCGAACAGAGGCGTAGGAGTGTCCAACTACGGAGAGCTGACCATCAAACGTGAGTCCTCACACACGCTTACACACACACACACAGTGTTGGAGGTAACAACACATTACAAATAACATGAGTTACGTAATCAGATTACTTTTTTAAAGTAACTAGTAAAGTAGCGCAATACTTTTTAATTCAAAAGGAAATAGCTGAGTTACTTTTTCAAATAATTAACGCCAGTTACTTTGTTTCCATTTATTGACTGACAGCTCTGGTGTTGCCACGGTGACAGAAATCAGGAGTAAGTGCAGAGCGTTGTGTGTGAACATGATCTTACTGTAGCTCTAGACTAAATATGAACATGTATTCACTCATCTCACCTGCACAAAAACACATTCAGTATTCCTCAAAATCAATAAAAACAGCAAAATGCAAACACAGAATATTATACACACCTGCAATAGTTAAATATGTTAAATAAGACATATATCATTTATGTATTTCAAGTTCAAGTTCATGAGATTCTCATTTCTCGTTTGGCATCTTGTGTTGGTCTGAGGGGGGTGGTCTTAAACTGGTTTAAATCTTTTTTAACCAATATAGGAGTTTCTCTTTAAAAATCAAAAGCTTTATCTAATCCCCAGGCAACTTAACCTGCGGGGTTCCTCAGGGTTCTATCTTAGCTCCTGCACTCTTCTCTCTTCATCTTCTTCCTCTGGGCTCTATTTTTAGGAAACATGGCGTTTCCTTCCACTGTTATGCCGATGATATGCAAAATTACTGGCCTATGACTAAGAATACAAAATATGCCGTTGATACTCTATTAGCATGTCTTGATGATGTCAAATCGTGGCTCTCTAAAGGTTTTCTCTTCTTGAACACAGATAAAACAGAAGTTATCTTCTTCTGCCCCTCTGAACACAGGGCAAGTAATCAACTGAACCTCGAGACCCTAAATTCCTTCATTTCTCCCTAAGTTCAGAATCTGGGTGTGGAGTTTGATAAATGCTTGAAATTTGATAAACAAATTAGTGCTGTTGTATGTTCTAGCTTCTTCCATCTTCGCTCTCTTTCTAAAATCAAGTAATTTCTTTTTGAAAGATCTCTAGAGGTTGCTATTCACGCCTTTAGTAAGTCTCGACTGGATTATTGCAACTCCCTCTATTTTGGTATATCAAGGTCCCAAATCTCTCAGCTACAAGTAGTCCAAAATGCAGCAGCTAAATTCCTGAAGGGATGTAAAAAGTTTGATCATGTTACTCCCCTCTCGAGATCATAGCATTGGCTGCCAGTTCACTATCAAATTAAGGTTAAAATCTTGCAACTTGTCTACAAATCACTAAATAACCTAGCTCCTCCTTATTTGTCTGATTTACTCCACCCTTACGTTCCAGCAAGGGGATTAAGATCGGAGGGCAAATTTCTCCTCCGGATCCCAAGAACCTGCTTAAAGACCAGGGGATCTAGAGTCTTTGAAGTGGCTGGTCCCGCTCTTTGGAACAACTTACCAGTTCACATTAGAACGGCTTCCTCCTTATCTGAGTCACATCTTAAAACCCATCTCTTCTCTTTGGCTTTTAATATGTAGCTGTGTTTGCTTTGTATGATTTTATTCTTGTCTACGTTTTTTTCTCTTTTTATTGTATTTTATTATTTGTTGTGCAGCACTTAGGTCGGCCTTGTTCCATGCTTAAACATGCACTAGAAATAAAACTGAACTTGGTTAGAGGATAGAAAATATAGTTTGGTCAGTATAAAAGTAATATAAGTTTATGGAAAGTCCCCACAGTTCACAGAAACAAACGTGTGTGTGTGTGTGTGTGTGTGTGTGTGTGTGTGGTCAGTATAAAAGTAATATAAGTTTATGGAAAGTCCCCACAGTTCACAGAAACAAACGTGTGTGTGTGTGTGTGTGTGTGTGTGTGTGTGTGTGTGTGTGAGAGAGAGTGAAGGATGGATGGAGCTGAAGCTGAAGCTGAAGCTCTGAGGATATTGGTGTGTGTTTTATGTTAATGTCTCTGGCATGTGTTTGACGGTAGAGTCGTCCTTGACCGCGGCCGTGTTTTCTCACGCAGCCCTTCAACAGTCATTTGATATGAATTTATGGCGCCCGCGTCTGATTCCTCGCGTGTTCTCTGCTCTCCGGCGCTAATGGCCTTCAATATTTCTTCAGCTCTTTCTGTGTCTCTCTCGCTCAATTGAATTCATGTTCCTGTAGTTTTTACCTCACGGCTTTATGTGATTGATTGCTTTAATCCGGCCTGTCCGGATGGAGAGCTGTCAATCACGATTAGAGGCTCCGCCCTCAGGCCGGGCGACACGCCTTCTGTTTGGCGTTTAATGCTCTCAAATAAATGATGCTCCTCTTGTTGTTGTCATTTTCCAATACAAAAATCGAAACATTAAACAGTACAGTGTTGATTCACAAGTTAGATTATAGAGCTATAAATCAAAAAACTTTTATATTTTTATAATTTTCTAAATTTTTGTAATGTTTCATATTATATTTTGAACTCTTCCTATTTATTTTATGATTTTTTTTGTTTTATACTATAACTTTTTTAATTGTTATAATATTTATAATTATATATTAGAATGTTTTGCAGTATATTTTAAAGGGGTCATATGATGTGATTTCAATTTTTCCTTTCTCTTTGGAGTGTTACAAGCTCTTGGTGCATAAAGAAGATCTGTAAAGTTGCAAAGACTGAAGTCTCAAATCCAAAGAGATATTCTTTATAAAAGTTAAGAGTCAACCACGCCTACCTAAAATGGCTCGTTCTAACACACCCCCACATATCGACGTCATGATGTGGGAAGATTTGCATAACACCACCCAAATGTTCATGCAAAGAAAGAAGGCATAACTTTTATTCTCGCTGTAGTATTGTTGCTGCCGCCACCATGTCGTGAAGGCGCTGTGTGTTTCGTTGTGACAGCGAAACTACTTTGTTTGGCCTTCCAAAAGAGGATGATATCCGCTTCGTCATGCCTAGAGCTGATCCGTGCTGGTCGCTGAGGAAATACTTCACTCAAACCCACCTGCTGCCCCTCACTCAAGCCCGCCGGCCTCCTCTCACTCTAGCCTGCGTTCTCCGCTCACTCAAGCCTGCCGGCTGCCCCTCGCTCTAGCCCGCCGGCCAACCCTCACTCTAGCCCACCGGCCGCCCCTCACCCAAGCCCACCGGCCTCCGCTCACTCTAGCCCACCGCTGTGGATCGCTGGATCGGCTTTCACCGTGGACGAAGCGGAGTCCAGCCCGGGGTCGTCACATGTGGTTGCCGCAAGCCTCCTTCGTCGAATCTGCCGGCCGCCCCTCACTCTAGCCCGCCGCCCTCCGCTCACTCAAGCCCGCCGGCCGCCCCTCACTCTAGCCCACCGGCCGCCCCTCACTCTATCCCGCCGCCGCTCACTCAAGCCCGCCGCCGCTCAATCTAGCCCGCAGCCGCTCTCTCAAGCCCACCGTGTGTGATGCTGTGTGTTTCATTGTGAAAGCGAAACTACTTTGTTTGGCCTTCCAAAAGAGGACACGACCGCCCCCCTCCCACTCTAGCCTGCGTTCTCCGCTCCCTCAAGCCTGCCGGCTGCCCCTCGCTCTAGCCCGCCGGCCAACCCTCACTCTAGCCCACCGGCCGCCCCTCACCCAAGCCCACCGGCCTCCGCTCACTCTAGCCCACCGGCCGCCCCTCACTCTAGCCCTCCGCTCACTCAAGCCCGCCGGCCGCCACTCACTCAAGCCCATCGGCCTCCGCTCACTCAAGCCCACCGGCCTCCCCTCATTCAAGCCTACCGGCCTCCCCTCACTCTAGCCCACTGGCCTCCGCTCACTCAAGCCCATCGGCCGCCCCTTCGTTGTGAAAGCGAAACTACTTTGTTTGGCCTTCCAAAAGAGGACAAAACTAGAAATCAGTGGTTACGTTGAATTTGCAACACTGTTCCAGAACACTTCAACCCAAATATTCAGATGTGTGCAGCACATTTTATGGAGGACTGTCTCCTGATCCTGGGAGAGTAGACTACAATGCGCCGGCTGTTCTGACTCACAGACTGTAAGTAAGTTTTCATATTTAAAGAATTTGCCACTGACGATTCAAACGCGAGTTTTGAGCAGTGTAGAGTAGCGCTTGTTGTTCGTCATTGCTCCAATCACAAATGCAGACATGGTTTTATGTTTCCACGGCTCGCTGCAAAGACAGTATAAGTCATTATAATCCGTAATTATGTCCCCACTGGATGCAACAAATGCGTCGTTTATAATGGGTTTTAATGTTTTTGTCTCGTCGCTCCGGCCGGACAGGGCAGCACAGTATGGTGAGGGGCGTAACATCTCCGTCACACGCTTGAGATATTCAGCCAATCACAACGCACTGGATAGCTGGCCAATCACAGCACACCTCGCTTTTCAGACCGATGAGCTTTGTAAAAATCGACACGTTTCAGAAAGGCGGGGCATAGAGGAGAAACAATAATATACAGTATGTGGAAAATAATGTGTTTTTTTAACCTTAAACCACATAAACACATTTCATTACACCAAATACACAAAATAATGTTCTTTTTAGCAGCATCATATGACCCCTTTAAGCTTTTAAACCTTAGTTTTAACTTTTTATATTTTTTATACTAAACTTATAATGTTTTGTAGTATATTTTAAACATTTTAAACTTAAAGGGTTAGTTCACCCAAAAATGAAAATTAGCCTGTGTTTTACCCTCGAGGCATCCTATGTGTATAAGACTTCCTTCTTTCAGACGAATCCAATCAGAGTTATATTAAAAATTGTCCTGGCTCCTCCAAGCGTTACCATATTAAATGTTTACACTTGATTATAAAAAATTTGTAAAAATGCTATGCTTTTTTGTTTCATATTTTATTTGAAGCTTTTATAGTTAAAAAAAAAATTATGATATAACTTATGTAACATAAAATGTAAAATAATAATGATATAGCATATTTTTAACTTTCTATAGTTTTTTTTTATAAATTTTTTTTATAAAATCTTTGTTACTTTTTTATACATTATTTAATACTTTTTAAAAACATTTTCTATACTATAGATTTTATG